GGCGCATAATCTGGGACTCAGAATCAGGGACTCTGAGTCTGAACAAGCCGAAAGGCTGTTTATCGGTGAATAGCAACCGATGGAAGCAGTGCCGGGCTTTCACCAAGCGCTTGCAAGCACAAGGCAACACTTGCTTTTAGTCCCAAGCGAGACACGCTCGAATCAGGAACTCAGAATCGGTGACTCTGTGACTCTGAGACTTCCGGACTCAGAAACAGTGAGACAGAAACGAGATAGAAGTCCGGACTTCCAAATCACAAAGTCACTTCGAACACTCACCGTCATCTGCCGAAGCGGACCATCATTCGCCAGGAGATATCGGGCAATGTTGAATAGTACGGGTTGTCCTAAGGACCACTCAACAAAAGTCCTGATGCGAAAGAACGAACACCTGTCAACTGTGGCAACTCAGGCTCAGGCTGCTTCAACGATTGGGTCATCCCGTGGATCGGTTCCTTCCGTCAGCGAGATCTCGGAGTTCTTGGGCCGACCGGAACATGGAGTGTTCAGCTCTCCATCTGCCTGTGATTTCCTCCAGTGCGTCTGCCAGCTGCCGCAGTTCCTTTGTCCTCTGCCGTGTCATTGGGTGGCTGGCCTGACAAGCTTCTGTTGGGGCTGCGGTGCTGATTCTGTTGAAGCGTGCGTCCGGGATAAGCAAGGTAGGAGGCCCGTTTGGACCGTGGCTTTGCATCCAAGTCTTCACAACACAAAAGACATCGAGAGGATTAGAAGGCCAACCTCTGTCAGTGGGATGCTGCAGCAATAGCTGCTGCTCACGGGGTGCCAAATCCATGCGGAGCTTGAAGGTGAAGGAATGGGGTGCCAGGATGCCTTCACGTCGTTTATAGCAGTTGTAAGGATGGACACACATTGCCCCGAGCCATGACTGGAAATTCCTGACATGTGTGAGGATCTCCACATTCACATCATAGCCCTTGGGTGCCAGGACGGGTGTCATGCCTGTGAGGATGCCCGTCCTGAGGTCTTCTGGCACCATGACCTTGCATCGTCTCAGAACCTTGGCCAAAAGGATGCTGAAGACAAAATCCACGTCTTCGTGCGTGTGGCCTACATGCAAAAAGTTCAGGACACAGGACTGAAACTTGAACTTCCGCACAAGCACCCCGAGGAAGTTCGCGACCTCTGCATTCTTGGCCTGTGCCGTAGTGTTATCACTTTGGATAACGAGATGATCAGGCATGGATCTTCCTTGCTGCCTGCAAGCTTCCTGTACACGGGCCAAAGTCCTCGTGAGAATCTCGCAAAAGAAAGAGGCACCGTGAAAGAAGTTCTCGTCATCAGCGAGATAGAAATCAGCACAAAATCCATGGGCCAATGCCAGGTGAATGGTCAAACGGGGTCTGTGGAACTTGTCCAGCTCCTTCGGCTTCCGGAACGGAAGTTGTGGCCAACTACCCTTACTCTTGTCCATGCCATCCAGGATTATGCAGAGGATGTTTGATCCAGGCACCTTGCTGTACCACCTCAAGTGCCAGTATATGACACGGTCGACATATTGTGCTTTGAGGTGATCCTGCCAAGCCTTCGCCGCCGCTTTCTTTTCTGCAACAGAAGCATCGCCGAAGTGAAGTAGGTTGGAAAACTTGCTGCAATCGTTGCACTGAGCATGTTGTGTCGGCTTGCGCAAGCCAATGCGGTGGCACCATCCTGAGCGACACGAAACATAGTCCCTCTGCAAATGACAATAACCTTCTTAACCAAGGCACTCTTGCTCCACCGCTGCCAGAATGTGCTCCAACAGGCCGCTCTGGACTCTGAGTCTGCGCTCTGGGACTCTGGGACTCTGACCAGGCGCCATGCCAAGTAAAGCCACCAAATATCGATTGGCTTTTTGTGCTGCACATACCGCTTGGGCAAGTCTGCATCAGCGGCTGATGCAATGGCTGTGTGTAGCCAAGACTTCTCAGGGTCCCATCCCAACATTGGTGCCAGATCTTCATCATCCCGGCCCAGATCCGGTGCTTGGGATGCTTGCAACTCTTCCTGCTGCACAGTCCAATCAACATTCTCCATATGGCATGTGTCATCCTCTGGGAGAAACTCTGCTGCAGAATGGTACATCTCCAAGAAGAACTGATCCACCGACATACCAGCTTCAGTCACCATCCGTCCGTTGCTGACACGGCCATCGAAGCAGTGGCCCTTGCAAAGCTTGCCAAGTGTGCTGGCCGATATCTCGAGTAAAGCAAACAGCTGTCTCTCACAAGACCGTTTTTCAAGGAAGATCCACTTGCAGCGACTGTTGCCAGCTTTGGCATCTCCATAAGACCTGTTCAGGAATGCAGCCCGCCTTGCTGAGCCCATGCCATCAAAAACTCGACGGGAAGCCAAAACATCCTCGAGCTTCAAGCCAGGCTCACACACACTGCAGTGACCCGATCGGCACCGACCAAAGGAGCATGGGCTATCAAGTAGCTCTTTGAGACGGGATTTGTTGCAGTCTGTTCTGTCGGAGGCTGAGAGGTCTTGATCACCAGCAGCCAAAAGTGCTGAAGCAACGGTGCGATGAACCTCCGGCATGGCTGCGTTATCTTCTGTTGCCTTGCAGTTGGCTGGAGTAAAGCTGTGATCCGGGCACGGTGTGGTCCAGTTTGGTCTGTCAGGCCGTTCTGTCCGAAGCTGAGAACTCTGGGATGCAGATGTCCAGGGGTTCATCTGCTCTCTGGGAGTCTGTGCTTTGGGACTTTGTGCTCTGCGACTCTGTAACGCGATCCTCTTCCTGGGGGGCGAAGACGACCCAGAGCCAGTGTGAGAGGGTGTCAGCCAACTTGGTCGGTGCACAGATCCCTCAGCGCCAGATCCCGCAGGAGACATGTTCAGCCATGAGTAGTCCCTACTTGCCCGCCGACTTTCAGAGCCCCCAGGCGCTGGTTCAAGCCAGCTGGGCCTCATGACTGCTGCCCTGCTGGAGCCACAAAGGTTGTGGAATAGGATTCAACGCATGATCACATGATCACAGCAACAAATAGTCTCGGAAGCATATCATGTATGTTATATGTGCAGTGAGCTAAGAAGACGTCATTCTCTTTGTCAACACCCCCAGACAATGTGCGACTCAAGGACTATCGGAACTCGGCACCAGAGACTTTGAAAGGGCTAACTGGACTCTGCTCCGTGCCTTGGCAAAGCAAAAGCGGCCGCATTCCTCAGAATTCGACCTCAGTGTCGCCTCATGGGTTGCTGACACTGAAAACCTGTGAAGAACTGGCTTCTTCTTTGAAACCCACGGACAAATCTCAGAGACTCAGAGTCGGGGACTCTGTGACTCAGGGACTCGGTGACTCGGCCCTGCAAGACCCACGCATCTCAGGCTTTGCTCTTGTCCATGCTCTTGCCGAGCTTCTCCTTCCAAAGCCGTGCTGCCTCTTTGATCTGCTCTCTCACCTCGTCCTGCGTACCCCCAAACCCTTGAAACCCCAAACCCCTAAGGCCCCATAATCCTTAAGACCACGAAGCCCTTAAAACCCCAAGCCCTTAAGACCTCAGAATCCTTAAGCCCTTGAACCTTCCAGGATGGTGGTTCGGAGCAGAAGAACGACACGGCTGGGGCTATGGCATCCACGCAGGCCATACTTTCAAAAGCTTAAGCCCTTAAGACATTCATAACCCTTAAGACCCCGATCCCTTTCAGGACCCTAAAGCCTAAGTACACTTATAGCCGCTATAGCCGCAAGCACTCCAGCACGTTTCAGACGAGGCCCCGATCGCCACGGAGCAGAAGGCCCAGCAGAAGCCGCCTGGAAAGCCAAAGGATCGGAGCTACGTGTTGTTTTTGCTTCCCGGGCTAGCATGTCACAAACCTTAAAAAGCCCTGTGGTCTCCTGAGACAGGAGGACTTGACACCGAGCTTCGAAAGGGCAGTCAAGATGTATGCTGCCGAACACAACATGGCCATCGACCAGGTCACACTACAGATGGTGAAATCCTCCGAGTTGGGGCTGCATCATTATGCCTGCATTGGCCTGGACACCTCCGCGAGGGGGGCAGCAGGCCAGGCATTGAACCGGGCCTTGGACAAGGACCCTCATGTCAAGCACGACGTGTACAAGTGGTTGTCGGAGGACCTCAAGAAGAAGTTCAGGACCTCGTGGGCGATCGAGAGATCCTTCGAGAAGGTCGTCCGGCAGCGGACGAGAGTTCTGAGGAATCTTGGATGTTTTGTTCAGTGTTTGCACACAGTACAGAAATTATTTTCCTGCATTGTTTGGATCTCGGCGCTTTTGCTTGTTATGAGGAAGATAAACTATAGTGATTCTGAAGCCAACTTAGGAACGTTAACCGTCAGCAAGAGCTGGGCAGCTGGAAATCGGAGCTTCAGTTGAGAGTCCACTTCGGAGGGGCTCACGAGCCAGAGGCGAAGCGACAGACCGACAACTACGTCGCGATGTGCCGTCAGTTTGGGGTGCCTTGGATACAAGAGGATTTTTGGTTTTGTGAGTTTCAAGCTTCTTCGTTTTGGTGTTTTTCCTTTTTGTGGTCCCTTTGGTCGTCAGGAGATCTTCTGCGAGTTTAACAGATGGACACGGGCAGAAAACTTCCTGCTCGTAGAGCGGCTGTCGAGCTCGACGCAGGAGGAAGAGTGGCAGGAGGTAGCCAGCCAGATGGACAGCTCGCCAACTTACGAGACGGAGGCATATCAGTCGCGACACGCAGAAAGTATGCTGCAGCGAAGGGTCTGCCGTTCGAGACCGTCACGCTGAAGCAGGTGGAGGACTTGGAGGGTTGGGGGATTTTTCTTCTGGTTATTTTAGGGATTTTGTCTTTTGTACCATAACCCCAATTAGGGTCCCTCTTAGGGCACTTATAAGTCTACTTACTAACTACTTACTAAGTCCCCCGCCTAAACCCCTAAACCCCAAACCCTCAACCCCTAGACCATAAACCCTAAACTCCCAAACCATTAAACCCCTAAACCCTACACCCCTAAACCCCTGACCCCCCCCAAGGAGAGCGACCTGGGCTTGCAGGGCTACGCCGAGATGGTCATCACGGTGCCGGGCATCGAAGTGGTCGAGGACGACAAGGATGCAAAGGCCACCAACCGCAAGCCGAACAAGCGAAAGGTCCCCAAGGACTTCGAGGAGGCTCCGGACGAGGATGCCAAGACGACCGAGAAGGACAAGAAGGGCAAGACCGAGAAGGACAATAAGAAGGAACCCGCCAAACCCAAGGCGAAGGCCAAGGCAAAGCAGGAGGGCTCGGTCAAGGAGGCAGAGACCGCCGCCAGGACGGTGGTGCTGCAGATCCAACGTGCTTCGCAGACCGTGGAGAGGTTGCAAGCGGCCCTGCATGGCGAGCAGCGGGCAGCCCCGCTGATGAAGGAGTTTGACTCCCTGCAGGCGGCCTTGAAGATGCAGGTCACGCCCACGGACGGGGACGACCTCGGCGAGTTCGTGAGCGAGCTGAAGATTGCTGTGTTTTCGGGGACCGGTGCCAGCAGCACCAAGACCTTGAAGAAGGACTACAAGGATCGCTACCTCCCGCTGCTCACCATGTTCAAAGATCGATGCCAAGGTGCTGCCCAGCAGTGACTTGGCTAGATTCATGTTTGCTTTTGTGATTGAACGTTTGTGCATGGTGACCATTGTTTCGTGTTTTCGCTATCAGCCCAGGATGCTGGACCTCGCCAACAAGATGGACAACATGTTCAAAGCCGTTTCGATGGAGGCCGACGCCAACCCCAAGGGTTCCAGGAAGTCGGCTCTGAAGATAAAACGCTTTACGGGTACGTTCCGGACCCTTTCACTTCACACAGATATTCGCACTTCACTTTTCCTCGGGCGCACGGCTGTCTTGGGTGCGTCCCTTGAGCCTAAACACCACAGTGGAACATTTGTTCCATACTATACAAAATCATGTGGCAAACAGCTCATCTACAGGATTATAGGGCAACACACTCCTAAGCGAAATGTTTGTTACCCCCTCTTCGTGCATCCTCTTTTGCCTTTTCTTTCCTAGAGGTGCAACGAACCCAAAACAGTCGCACTTTCCTCCTTTTGAAACACTCGTTGTGCACTCGCTTTTTGTCGTGGTGTGAGACGAGTGAAACAGAGCTACTCCTACCGGCCGCTCTCAAACTCGTTCACCTCTTTGGCCTTTCAGCCTCAAAAGAACTCGTGGTGGCCCAAAGCCACAAACTCTTCAAACTCTTTAAACTCTCCTCGTGAAGAAACTCTTCGGCTTCTCGTGGTGCAGTTGTCGTACAACTTTCAGAAAACTCTTTCCTCGTTTGGGAACGAAGTTCCCCCTCTGGGCTTTTCAGCCTTCAGATTCCCTTTTTCTTTATAGACCTCCGGTTTGGTCTTTCTTTCTTCTCTTCTCTCCTTTTCTCCTTTAGCTGTTCTTTTGCTGGGCTTTCTTTCCTTTGCCCTTCTCCGCATTGTCTGTGCGGTACTTTTTCTTGTTTGTCTCCAACCTGTTCGCGTATGCTCTTCGAATTATCAATTCGTTCTTCTTGTACCAGGATTGGAACTGTTCCTTACTCATTTCTTCCCTTTGCATCTTTGGGGCATACTGCCCTGAGGCAGTATAATTGTAATCGGCATCCCAACACGTTTCGGAACCATGTCCGAAACGCGAACATACCGCGCAAACCATTGCCTGGCTTTGCGCATCAGGATCTTCGTTGATCCGGCTTTCCTCTTTAAGCACCTGGAGCTCATCTTCGAGGGCCTTGTTGTTCTTTCCAAGCTCCTTGATAGTCTCGCGCATTTTCTTGCGCTCCTCTTTCATCTTCTCTGCATCCTCATTCGGTGGGCCTTGCGTCGACCCAGCACTGCTTTTGCGCTTTTTCAGCTTTCTCACTTCTTCATTCAATTCTCCAATCTCTTTGTCCTTTGCCTCTTTTAGCTCCTTGATCTCTTTATCCTTTTTGTCAATCTCCTCTTTGATCTCCTTTTCTTTCGTTTCTTGGAGCTCTTTAATCTCTTTGATCCTCTTGCTCTCCATCTCTTTCAGCTTTTGCTCAGCTTCGCCCTGAAGCAGTCCACCCGCTGGAACCTGCAGTTCCTTCCTTTTTGCTTTCAACTCCTCCAGTGCAGTATGGAGCTTCGGCCTCAATTGGTCCATCTCTTTTTGCAGGGCGGACTCAGCGTCCATTATCAATGTAGCCTCATTTTCCTGTTCCTCCTCTTCAGCTCTCAGCTTGTCCAGTTGTTTCTCTATGGACTCTTTGGCAACGAACGCTTCGTCCGCTACCCGCTTCAGCTCTTCCTTTACCTCTATCTCTTTTGCAATCAACCTGTCTCTTTCTTCCTCCTTGATCTTCTTCTGCTTTTGCTTGTACGTATACAAGTCACTATAAATAGTGAATTTCTTTCTCTTTTCATCCACTTTCTCCTGCAGAACCCTCATCTGCCCAAGCAGGTCCTGCACTTTCTTCTCCTCTTCCAGAACTGACTTCTTTGCCATCTTGTCCATAATCTCTTTGTACTCATCATCACTCGACTCAGAGTCCTTCTTTCTCTTCTCGCCTCTCTTTTTCTCTTCCTCTTTTTCGGAGCTTTGCTCTTCCTCTTCTTTCTCCGAACTCACTTTCTCCTCGCTTTCAGAGGCTTCTTGCTCCTCTTCTTCTTTCTCTTTCTTTTTCTCTTCTTCTTCTTTTGTTTCCTTCGCCTTCTCTGCGGCTTCGTTTGCCCTTTCCTTCTGGCCCCTTCGCCTCTCGGAAGCATCCAAGGCTTTCTGCCTCAGTTCGCTCACTCTATCTTCCATAACCTGTGCCTGGCTTCCTTCGGCACTTCCTTTGCTTCCCTGTGCCTCTCCAGCCAATTCCTCGGCTGTTTTCTTGAACTCTTCAGGCACTTTAACCTCCGTCTTTGCAGCTTCTGACGGGGCCGCCTCTTTAGGCTCATACTTTTGGTTGAGGCGTTGCACTTCGGGCCATAGGGCATCCAGGGTCAATCTCCTCTCTCGCTCCTTTTTGAGCTCTCTTTCGCAGAGGGTTACGGACTCTATGCTTCGGCATTCGTCACTGATCATTGTCTTGAGGGCCGCGTCGTCGGCCATCTTTTTCACTTCTTCTTTTTCTTCTACTTCTTTTCTCCTCACTTCTTTTCTTTTCACTTCCTCTCTTTTCACTTTCTTCCTTGAGTCAAAAACGGCAGCGGCGGAACAAAGCATGCATTCAACACTTCCAACCAGACTCTTCCACAAGCTACCGTTGCAAGCCATGATAACAACCAGTGTCATCATCATCACCATCATCACCAAACCAAAGTTTCCACCTTCACTGCTTCTACTGCTTTGCTCTCTTAGTCCATCACATTGCTGAACCATCATCATCATCACAAGTCTTCTCAGATACTTCGTAGGGATCTTGAAGTCACTTGCTATCCTGACCTCTTCACTCTCTTCTCCAGTTTTCACACCGATTCTCTCCAAACACTTCACAACAGCGTTCCTCGACAAAGCTTTTGTTCCTACATCTGCAGGGTTCTCCTTCCCAGCTATCGCTTTCACTTGAAGACCTACAGAAGTAAGCCTTTGAACCCAAAGCAGTCCTGCATCAATGTGCCTCGTTCTTCCTAGGCCTTTCTTCATGAGAATAGACCTAGCACTGCTAGAATCCATCCTAATCACCATCTCCGGCCTAATCCCTAGAACTCTGTGCAGCAGGTTCTGTAGAAAAACTCCTTCACTCAAACCTCCAACAGCTGCCACCAGTTCGCTTTCGCAGCTGCTCAAAGCCGTCGCTTTTTGCTTTCTCGCGTGAAAGTAAACGATGTTACTGTTCACGAAAATCAACACGCAGCTCGTTGACTGCCTATTCTCACGATCGGTCGCCCAGTCGGCGTCGGTCACTACCTCGATCAAACTCTTCGCCGTAAAAACATCTTTGTAGGCATTCTCAGTTTTCTCATCACTTGGATCTAGAAAACTCTTTCCAGGGTATGCCTCTTTGTGTTCTATCACGTAGTGGGCTGTCGCTTTCACATACTTTGCCACGTGCCTAAGCACTGCTAAGTCTCCTCGCGTTGGCGCTGCCAACTTCCCAGACAACCACTTCGTAGCGAATCCCAAATCAGGTCTCTCCGGTGTCATATACAATAGGATTCCTACACAGGATCTATACAGATGATGTTCATCTGCATCCAAGGGCGTATCGTCCTTCAACGATCTTCCGTAATCCATTGGAAACGGCAACTTCTTCGGCATGGCTTTTCCCAAACCTAAAATCTCTTCCAACTTCTCAAGATACTTGCCGTCCATCCTGATCTCAATTCCTTCTTTCGTTCCTAAGAACGTCCTCTTCAAGAAAGTACACTTTCCTTCTCCAACCTTCACTGGTCCTTCCAGCTTTATCTTCAACTTGTGCTTCAGCAGCAGATCAACCACCGCTTGGTTCTCCTTTGGTTTTCCAAACACTTCCAAATCATCCACATGTGTACTCATCAGCGTTCCACCTTCTCCTGGGTTCTCTGAAAACTTGTAGAAGAAACTTGGTAACCCCACATCGGAAACCATCTTCTCTTTCTCCAGGATTTCTCGTAGGTGCTCAAACCAATCACTGCTTCCTGTTCGTTGTCCCGGCAGGGTGTACTGCAGCTGGTACCACTTTCCTCCTAAACTCACAACCGTGTACTCCTTCTGTGGCACCTGAAGGTACGCGTCCGAAATGTCTATCGAGATCATCTCGTAGTCTCTTGAACTCGCACACAAAGCTGATAACAGCTTGATGCTCGAACCAATACTCGTTGGTGAGTATAGCGCTGAGAGATCGTAGTCCGTCAGCCACTTGTACTCCCGCGCCACTAGGCGGGCTCTCCTCTTCCATTGGAGGTCCCTATGCCTCCAATCCAACACGTCCTTTGTACTGAGTCTCTTTGGTTCTTCTCCATTCGGTCCTTTCTTCAACTCTCCATTCTCATCCAGTTCCACTTCTTTGAGAACTTTCATCTCCAATAGTCTCTCGATTTCTGTTCTCTCTGCTTTCAGGTCCACCTTTTCCAAATCTTCAGCTTCCAACTTTGGTGGCCCATCATCATACTCGTGAGACCAAGTAACCGTTAGGTCCTCTTCTGTCTCACACACCTTCTCGTTCCACTTGCTCTGGAACTCTCGACTTTCTTCCAGAAACAACTGTGTCTCGTCGAGATCAACATACTCATCTCCATGCTCTTCAGGATCTTCGCTCTTGGCGAATCTTCGAATGTGGTATTCTACTCGTGCCGCGCTTCCTCGTGCTTCGTCTCCAAGTCTCGGCACCTTTTCAACTCTTTCTTCTACCTCTCCAGTTCCTTCGTCTACTCTTGGTTCTTTCTTTGGTGACCCTTCTCCTTCTTCTTCTGCATTCCTCTTTGCAACTTCTCTTTGAAACTCTTCCAACGTCATTTCATCGGGCACCAATTCATCTTCTGCTTTTCTCTTTGTCCTCACCTCTCCTGGATCATCGTCATCGTCATCGCTCTCGTCGTCCATTGCTTCTGGCGTTGCTCCAGATAGCGACGAACTCTTGCTAGAAGAACTTGAGCTTCCTTGGCGGTCGCTTGGCGGCGAAGGCTCGCTTCTCCTTTCTTCTTCTACTCTTTTGTCAGCTTCCACCGCCAATCTTGGCAGTCCTGGCCCATCATCAATAGGCACAATTCTCTTCTTCTTAAACCTCAAAGCCTTCAGCTGATGATCCCATGGAGCTCCAACCGAAAGTTGCAAAAGCTCCGGCTGATATGCCTCAGCACATCTTCTCATTGTCCTCGCTTTGATCACTCCTCTACCTGTGCCAATCAAGTTCAGATTGCTCGCGTAGTCCTTTCCAAGAAAGACTCCTTTCTCCCAAGGTTCTCCTTTCTCCTTGGTCTTTGGCACTGCTTTTCCAAACACTGCTGACCCGAACGGGGCCAACTTTCCTTTGTACGTTCGGTCTACTGTCGCTTCAAACGCAGTTCTGCCATCTCTTCCAACATGAAACCTGTTGTGCAGCCACGCTGCGTGTCTGTATGCCCAGCTATAAAGCGGAACATCAGATCCGATGGCCGTTCCACTTCGTTGCTCAACCGTCGCCAACAACGTCTTTGCAAGGTTCCTCACAGTTTGGATATACCTTTCCACAGGCAACCCTTGATGCTCATCAGGCGTGGCATCTTGCAACTCCGTCTTCAAACCTTGTTTCGTTCTTGCCACTTGAACTCCTCTCCTGATGGCAATCATCACTGGCTCGGTGTCCGTTCTAATAACCACTTCAGCGTAACCCAAAAGGGCTAACACTCTTACCACTTCACTCACTGCGTGGTTTATCACTGCATCTCCTCCTTTTGTTGGTACCGCAATAGCTATCAGGAACTTCGTGTCGTTGTCAACACCCGCAAGCTGAATAGCCAGCGGATCTCTCTCCTTTTCATCTCCTTGTGTTCCTGTGAACATAAAGTCCAAGCTAAACACGGGTCGCTGCGCTTTCTCCTTCGTCTCTTCAAAGTTGTCTTCTCTGCTCTTTGCTGCCTGGCATGCTTCACACCAGGGCGCTCTCGGCAAATGCGTCAACTCATGTGCTTCAATCTCTTCCGGGCTCGGCAAAGCAGGCAGAGCCTCTGGAATCGGCTCTCTCTCAAACTCCTTTCTGATATCCTCAGAGATTTGGGCTTGCGCTTTCACTTTGCTCAGCGCAACCTCTTTCTTCAATCTTTTCCACAAAATCTCTTTCGATCCATTCTTCGAGATATGCAAATACTTGCACGCCGCTTTCATCTCCTTCAACTCACTCTGGCGCGTCAACTTCATTGGTCCAATTACCATTACTTCTTCCTCATCTTCACCAATCACTGGAACTCCTCTCTTCGGTTCCTCTTTCTCACTTTCCTTTTTGTCTTTCGAACCTGAGGAGGTACCTGTGACCTCCATTGGCACTCCTTCTTGTGCCAGTTCTCTTTCAAGCTCTTCCAAATTCGTGAGCAACCCATAGTCACTCGGTTCCTTCAATCCCTTTTCCAACAAGGTGACCATCACCTCAAACCTTGCTTGAGGACTCGCCCCAAGTTGCACTCTTTCGCGATCCTTCCAGATCTCCGTACACTCAAAGAAATCCCTACTCTTCCAATCCACTTCATTCAACACTCTTTCTCCACTTCTTTTCATCTTTCCTAGCAAGGTTGTCCTATAAGGAAAATAATCGCCTTCATCTCCTGCTCCCTCATAGAGTCTGTTAGGGAACTGACCCGTTGGGTCAAACGTCTTCCACATAAACCAATCAAACCTTGCAGGCGTGCCGTCATTTAGCACAAACCAACCATCTTCATCTTCTTTGCTCTTCAACTCATTCTTCAGTTCTCGCTCCAGCCTCTCAGGCTGCACTGTCATCTCTTCTCCTTCAAGTCTCCGTATACACATCCTCGCCATTGAGGAATTCCTTTTGAAGTATATCGGTATCCGAACACTTCCTTTCTTCAACCACAATCTTCCATCTTCATTCACCGTACCCCAACCTAGCTTCCACATCTTTCCTACCGCAAACAAAGGTTGGGTGACATTGCCGCAAACAGCACTGTCAGTGATCTTTAACTTCTTTCCAGACTCCTTCGTGAAAACAAACGTCACATTCTGCCTTACAGGCAACGTTGGGATCACTTTCCCTTGCGCATCTTTCAGATGGTACTCAAAGTTCGAAGTTTCTCCGACTTCTTCTGCCCAATCCATAGGCAACACATGGCAATCAGCTCCACTGTCGAGCACTACCTCACATGCATCCACTTCTCTTGCTGCTCTTCTCACATCATCTCCTTCAGAAACCATTCTCACACTTCTTTCAACTTCTGTTTCCAAGAACCACCATCCTTGGTACCACTCCATCAAACCATCGGTCGGTTCCTCCTCAATCTCTTCCACTTCATCGCTCGAAGAGATATCAAACTCCTCAACTCTTCTCAGCTCTCCTTGAACCAAACCTTCAAACTCTTGACACAATCTCACAAAGTTGAGCTCTTCATCCTCATCGTTCCACTCTTGTGTCATCTCTACTCTTCTTGCTTGGCGCGCTGCTTCAGCTGTGATCTGCCTCACTTGACCAGTCTCATTCTTCGTAGGAGGGGCATTGCTAGAGGAACTCTTCTCGTGATCTCCTTGATGGGTTCCTTCCTCTTCTACCTGTCTCACTTTGCCTTTACCTCCTTTTCCTTTTCCTTGATTCTGCCAGCAATCAGCTGCTTTGCGTCCTGTCTTTCCGCATATGTGGCACTCTCCTATGAACTTTCCTTTCCCGTAGCCACCAGCGTCCACTGCTCGTGCATTTCTATAACCACCTTTTCCTTTTCCTTTGTTGTCGTATCCTTTTCCTTTTCCTTTTCCTTTGTTGTTGTACCCTTTTCCTCCTTTTCCTTTGTTGTCGTGACCTTTTCCTTTTCCTTTGTCTTTTCCTTTTCCTTTCACTCGATCAATATCCATTGGTTGTGGCCCAGAATAGGGCGTACTCTTCGTTGCGCTCTCCATATTGAAAGACTGCAAAATGTTCTCCGCGTTCCACGATTGGGTACTCCTTTCATACTCCAGCAACTTTTTCCTGATGTCTGCGTACTTCGTCGTAGGGGTCAATCCTATCAGGATATGTTTCCTTAACTCATTTGGCAAACCTTTGAGTACTGTTCCGATTTTCAGATTCTCATCGTAGGGTTTTCCTTCGGACAGTTTTTCGTATTCTGCAACCAGTTTTTCGTAGGTAAGCAGATAGTCTAAGATAGAAGTCCCCTTCGTCATCTGGGGAAAGCTCACTAGAGCTTGAGCCATTGCCAGCCCTCTTGTTCGGCTTGACGGCTCCAACTCTTCAAACAGTCTCCTCCAGACAGAATATCCATCTGGACTTCCTTCTGACTTCAATAACTTCAATGGCCTGTTCCTAAGATACGAGGCCAAAATCGCATACAGCTTTGTACTTCTTTCTCTTTCACCAACTGTATAATCTGCTGGATTTGGTGGTGCCAGCTCCACTTTCTTCAACTCTTCTGCATAGGTGGGATCAATGAAGCCCACAAACACTTTGAAACTGAAACTCCAATCTGGCCACTGTGAAACTTCCTCCTCCAAATTCTTTGGAGCGAACACATCCGGACTCTTCACCATCTTAGCTGCAGAGTCGTAACTTCTGGTACTTCCTGTACCTGCAGCACTTGCCAAAGCTTGCGCTGCTGCCGACAGGTTCCCTATCAGGGCCTGAAGGGATCCTCCTGCAACTCCATCTGGTGCAGGCATCGCCATTGGCGTATCACTTGGTGTATCTCCTCCTTGACCACCGTGACCAGGGGACACAGGCAAATCCGCGTCTCCAGCTGGACTTGGCGTGGCCATTCAACTTTCCTTTCTTTCACTTTCCGTGACACTGGGGCCCAAGGCTCTTTTCTCCTTGTATTGGGCTCTTCTTCAGCCGAAGGTCCTGGCCTTCAGCTCCGCTACCATAAAACGCTTTACGGGTACGTTCCGGGCCCTTTCACTTCACACAGATATTCGCACTTCACTTTTCCTCGGGCGCACGGCTGTCTTGGGTGCGTCCCTTGAGCCTAAACACCACAGTGGAACATTTGTTCCATACTATACAAAATCATGTGGCAAACAGCTCATCTACAGGATTATAGGGCAACACACTCCTAAGCGAAATGTTTGTTAGAAGAAGAGGACCCGGAGCGAAAGTAACGTAGGCGGCTCCTTTTCGTCTGTCTGAGAGTTTTTGCTGGCAGGTAGGATCCACTTGCAGTGCCATCGATTTGGTACTGATATGAGGTGATGTGCAGCCATGCCTCGGCGCGCAACCGCAACCCAGGACCCAAAGCAGGGGAGCTTTCTCGGAAACATGTTCAGTAGCACAACAAACAGAAACCAAGGCATGGTTGCACACACTGCCAAGTGTTCATGTGTCTCCGATCGGGTGATGGCCTGGGAGGGGTGAGAACCTAGGCTGAAGTCCGATCATCCGAATGCTTCAAAAAAGAGGGTGTTCGTAGCAAAGCTTGCAGAGTCGGCTCGTGGACGAGAGTGGCCCCGCACGGCATGTGAAGGAACAGTTGTTCATGTTTGTGTTTGTGTGCCCGCAGCTGAAGTGCAGCTAAGGCATGTGACCTCATGTTGCATGAACAAACAGTGCAGGCCTTCATTCCAAGGTCTAAAATGCTTGTTCATGTCGGAGAATGGTCCGGATGTGAAAGGACGTCCAGCTTTGCATGTTTCTGTTGGTGTGGGCAGGCCTTACTTCCAAGCCTTAAGGTATAGAAGCAGAGAATGTGAAGCCAAGCATGTAGTCACAATTGCAGTTGAAATGGGTCCATACACCCGAGACGCGGAAACGTGCTTTTGCCCAAGTACAACAGGAAGATGAGGGTTCAGGGCCGACGCCGGACCAGGTGCTTGCAGGCCAGCAGCTACGAATGTTCTTGCTTGATAGGTTTTGCACAGGATCCTTACCTGGATCGGATGTGGCAGAATTGTGTCACTATGTGACACAAGCTGGAGGTACTGGTGTGGCTACAAGGGCCCTGAATCCCGAGCAAGCCGCTCGTCACGGGTTTGAGCATATCAAATTACATGCTGGGAAAGAATATCCTGAACCGGATCTTGACTACGTGACTGTGCCTTTGTTCGAGAAACAGCAGTCTCGACGAGTGGCAGAAAAAGTGCCCATCATGCTTCCTTCGACACTCTTTAGAAAGTTCGTGGAGGTGCCCTCGGTACAAAGCAAGGACGAAATCAACTTCCGAAAGATGCTTCATAATTTGCCCTGCTACGACAATCACCCTGTTGTTCAAAGGGCCCGAGCTGCTGGAAACACGGAACTTGTCCGGCCCATCGCTCTTTACTGGGATGGGGTCCGCTACTCGGTGCACGATTCTTTCACTGGCTTCTACGTGACTGATATCTTATCCGAGCAGAAGTTCGTTTCCTTTCTGCTTCGCCCCTCCGCTAAACAAGCACATCCATTGTTTGGTTCTTTGATGGTTGAGTCGCATATGAAATCCTTGTAGATTGTAAACCTTACCATGGAGTTTGGGCTTACCTTACATATGGGTGATTCTGAAAATGGGGGACCCAAATAGAGTACCCTAAATAATCGGATCCTGATGATAAAGCCCCGAAACTACTGCAATCAAGCCCGGCATTCGCCGGAGCTTCTGAATAGAGTAAGGCACCGAAACTAATGCACTCAAGCCCGGCCTTCGCCGGAGGTTCTGAAGACATGTGCCGCTGGCTGTCGCGGCTGGTGCAGCATCTTCCCGCTGCTGGATGCCTGGGTGAAAGATCTGGAGAAGCTGCAAGCATCGCTGAAGTATTGTGTGCTTGACATCCAGTGCGATTGGCCGGCTTATTTGGAAATCATAGGGGGCAGATTCTGGAATCACAACAGCCACCCGTGTGCCCTTTGCCGTATTTCGCAAGATGACATGACTGCCGACAATGTGCACAGCATTACCCTGGACAATGTGGGCCACTTGGTGTACTCGTCGGAAGACTACAACAACGACATCGGCATGTTCACCAAGGTGAATAAGCTTCCAATACGGGGGTTAATTTCCGAAGATAGGGGCACCTTATTCTGGGGTCTTTATCGCAAGGATCCTATTATTTAGGGTACTCTATTTGGGTCGCCAATTCTCACAAGCACCCATATGTAAGGTAAACCCAAACCGTTAAAAGCCTAATCCCTGAAAGCCCAGCTTTAAGCGGTAGCTTCATCTTTTTGGGTTGATTTTCTTTTAGTATGTCGAAACCGGATCGAGCCCACCTGAAAGGAAATTCTTGTGGATACGGCGGAGATGCTGCGAACGATTGCCAGAAATCTTGAATACAGCCGACTAGATCGTGGACGACATCTCACTGCAGACTTGCCCCGCTACGGCCTCCGCAAGAACTGGAGACTCGAGCCCAGCCGCCGGCTTCCAGATGTCAGCCAGCTGGAATACCAAGAGCTTCCTCTGAGGGTGATTTTTTGGATTGCGCCGAGAGATGCAAGGCTGACCCACATGTGCCCTCTGTTTTCGCTCGAGGGGGTTTACACAGGATAGTTGGTCAATTGATATTATGCACGCCTGGCACCTCGGACCCATGCAGCAGTTCATAAGCCTGGCTATGCATAGTTTCATTGCTTCGGGTGTGTTTTCACCCCGCAGTGTGAATATAGAAGCTTCAGAACTTCGAGAACTGGCCCTTTTGGCCATTAAAGCCGAGCTCTTTCAATTCTACAAGAACCTGAGATCTACCGACCAAAGGTGGCGAGAGAAGGGATCCGAGGTCTGGAACTTGACTATGGGCATGATTGGAAATGAGGATACCTACAACTTGTCGGCAAAAGCAGCTGAGTCGCACGGTCTTCTTAGATTCGTCCTCTGGCTGCTGCACAAGTACGCCGATGAATTCGCCAAGCAGCCGGATGAGCTGGCTCGCAAGTTCGCACTCTTGACGGCTTGTACAGAAGCTGCCCATGCCATGGACGAGCTGCTGGAGTTGGAATTCCGACAGTTCACTCGACAACATTGCCAGGCCCTGCTGCAGCTGTACCTACGCTTTTTAACGCTTTACTTGAAAGCGGGCGGTGTATGGAGGCCGAAATGTCATCTTCTTGTGCACATGATTCAGCGGGCTCTTCACAGAGGGAATCCGCGATTGTACTCCACCTATCGTGACGAAAGCTTGAATGGGGTCATAGCCAAGATTGCTCGTTCTGCTCATCGCAGCACTTGGTCGAATGTGATTCACTGGAAATGCAACTTTCTTCAGCAAAAGAAGCTGGAGTGCTCGAGTGAGTGAGGTGGCGAGTGGAAAAAAAGGCAGTCTCGCAGTCCAGAACCACTAAAAACCGTAAACCAGCACCTCAAAACCCCAAAACTCCTCAACCGCGAACCCCGAAGCCCAAACCTTCGCAAACTCTCTCTCTTTCTCCCTCTCCCTGCTCTCCTTCTCGTAAACTTCGACCCAAAACGCTTAATTCAGTTTTTTTCGGGTTTGGGGCTTCTGGTTTATCTGGCTCAAACGGCTCAAGCTCTGTATAATGCTCCGATGATGCAATACACGATATATTCTGGCTCAAACGGCTCAAGCTTTTTTAATGCTCATGATGCAATATACTATATATACTGGCTCAAACGGCTCAAGCTTTGTATAATGCTCAAATGATGTCAAGATTTTCCGTACAACGATTGCGAGTGGATCTAATTTTTTACAAGGGTTTACGAAAACCGATTGGCAGAGGGGGTCGTGCATCAAGCGACACTGCGGTACCGCAAATGCACACACATGGTGAGACACAGGAGGTCTAGTCGAAGCCAGGCGGAAACATGGCTGCACGTTGTGTTGAAACATGGGGGCAGACTGCAAAAGCGTTGGATTGAAGCTGCTATGATGGAGCTTCTGAGTTTGAGCACAGCTTTCCCCTGGTTCTGGGCTTGTCACCCACACTCCACCCAGGACCTTGGCCCTCAGAGCCGTGATCTAGCCCATGTGGGTCAAAAATGGCCCTAGTAGTACGTGCGTTTAGGGGGCCACACATGGCACCAGGGCCAGGTTTTCTCGCGCGGAACCTTGGGCCAAATCTTGAGGCATTGTTTGAGCCTTGGCGCTAGGGTTAATTAGGGTTAGGGACTCTGGGGTTTCAGTTTTTGCATGCACAGACAACTCAAGGTTACCAATTCGTCGTTATGAGAAAATTCGTGAAACTCATCCGGAAACGATGGGACACAAAGCTGATTTGGATGGAATTTGCCAAACGGAGCGTGTTTGGCTTGAAAGGAATACAAAAAGGAATACAAAATAGCTCCAAAACCATTGTTAGTGGAATGATGTCCGAATGCCCGTCAGAAATGAAAGGAAAAGAGAACTGAACGATGTCCATGATGCTTGCAAAGCTTACCAAAAACGCACAGAGACAAGACACACCCCGAAAAGTCTGGCAGTCGACGAGCAAATGGTCACACAAAGCTGATTTGGATTGGATTCTGCCAAACGGGGAGTGTTTGGCTTGAAGGAAGACAAAACAGCTCCAAAATCATCGCCAGCGGAATGATTCATGCCCGAATGCCCAGAAATGGAGGGAAAAGAACGGAACGATGCCCATGATGCCTGCAAAACCCACCAAAAACGCACAGAGACAAGATGCGCACCGAAATGCGTCGAGCAAATGGTCGAGCAGGGTCGAGCAGGTCGAGCCCAGGGTCGAGCAGAGGGTCGAGCAGGGTCGAGCCGGTCGAGCCCAGGGTCGAGCAGAGGGTCGAGCACGGTCGAGCAGGTCGAGCAAACCCCACAGACAGCACCAAACAGCTCCCCCAAGCCTCATGATGCCTGAGGCGCGTTAAAAAACGCAGCTACCCACCAATCTGCCTGAAACGGCACATTTAGCGAGACATTTGATAGGCAGTGGCCTCGGAGCAAGGGATTTAGGGGTTTGGAGCTCCAAAACCAAATGATCACCCCAGTGTCTTGGTGATGGTTTGATTTGGGGTGGCTTGTTGCTTTTTTTAAGGCGGTTTGGGGCGGGTTGGGGAGTTTGGCCTTGACCCGGCGACACTGACAGGCAGGTGTTTGGAGCAGGCGGTTATGAGGGAGTTTGGGGCTCCAAAATCAAATGATCACCCCAGGCGGCGGGGCTCATTTTAAGGAGTTTTGGGGTGGGTTGGGGTGTCCTTGACAGGGGGCGCTGATAGGCAGTGGCCTCGGGGCACGGGGTTGCGAGGTGATCGTTTGATGTGGGGCGGGACTCACGGCGGATCCCACAAGGGACACATGTTAAGGGAGAACACTTTTGTTCACACAACATAGCAATTATTCATGGCGACACACTGAACAAAGCGCTGTAATTAGGCACCACCACCCCAAAAAAAACCTCCACACCCCTTCCTCCCACCCACCCACCCACCCACTGGGAATCTGCTGATCTGCAGGCCTTGGATCGCGCACACGTGGCCGTTCTTTCACAATAATTACAACAGCATGTGAAAACTCTACGCCGTAAAAAGCTAGAAAGGATGCTTTCGAGTTCCACAGCAAACAACTTTCAGTTCGCTTTCAAGATTAGGATTTCGGGTTTAGGGGTTAGGGTCTAAGGGTTGTAAGGATGTTTTTGATTGCACACGCACGACTGACACGTCCTGTTTGAGCCGTTTGAGCCCGTGGGTGGTGGGTTGGGGTGGTTCGGTGGGTGGTTCGTTGGGATGGGTGGTGGGGTTTACTAGTGGGCGGGGGTGGGGTGTGGATTGAATGAAAAAGAGGTCTGGGTGGGCTTTCCTGCCACAAGTCCATGCCGAAACGGTTTTCGTAAACCCTTATATAATTTTTAGATCCATTCAAGAAATCGTCTCTATTTTCCGACATGAGTGGTGGATCTAATTTATAGATCCACCCGGGGGTCTGGGTAGGTCAAAATCATGATTGTCGCCAGCTTTAAGCCGGTACTTCAGCGGCTCATAGATGTGAAAAGGCTCCGCGTGAAAGTTTCGTGTAAACATGTAAAAACATGCATGCGAAAAATCATGAGGTAAACTTTCGCGAGCACTATTTCAAAACCAGAAGGTTCTTGAAATTTTGTGTTTGGAAAGATAACGTGATTGTCACCTCCGGTGAAATAGCACAAGCTGGGCCTTACCTTTGCTCCCACCCGTGGGTTGACGAGGGTCACCTGTGCGGATGACCAGCTGACTAGCACTGTTGGCGATGATGGCCGCCAACTCCAGCTGGTCGCAATGGCCATAAGGTAAAGCATCGCCCCGCTTCCCGTAAAAAGTGGGTCGCGCATGGCGGCAAGTATGCATCAAGGCGATGCACAGCCGGTGGAAGATAGCATGGAGCGTCTGCCACGGTGGCATGTGCACAGTAGTCGCATTGGCACGCCGACACGATGGTATGCGATGACAATCAACATCGCCCCGCACGATTCATATCGGATCAACCGCCAAGGCGAATGCCAGGAGTATCACCTAAGGCAAGAAAGCTATGGTCGCAGCCTCCAGCAAGTCACAGTGGGTGTGCGCGACCAAAGCCACCTGCCGAAGTAAGACAATGCGCAACATTGTCAAACTAAGTTCCAAAGACCGACCGAAGGTGCGCAGAAAGACTGCAAAAAAGCAGAACGCACTGCGGTCCTCCCATGGAAAGCAACTGAAAATGAAGCTGGCGATGCGGCCGGAGATGTTCATCTCCACCAATTTGTAGAAAACCTGCAAAATCTCATCATTTGGGCGCCTGGCCATCAATGCGGACATGCGAGCCTCGACTCGTGCCCGTCGGGCCTGTAGGGTTGTCAATATCGGAGCCACTGCAGCCTGGGTCGCATCGGACTCAGCGACTCGACGTTTTTTGTTACCAATCCGACATGACATGGCGAAAAGGCGCAGAGCCCGTGCCGTGGGCAATGGAACCGATCGGCTGGCGGTGCAGGCCCGTCCCTGACCAAGCGAATGCAGTACCCAGACATCAAGGTTTGCGGCCAGCTACATCCGTTTATTGTAATGCATCACGCCAACCAATTTGCTCGATGTCACGACATCGACGTCTGCCAATGGTGACGAAAGAAAAATAACTTTACAAGGTGAAACAAGGCTGCGACTTACAGACTTAGCCGGCAAAGTCGTTCAGCAATAATAACTAACCCCGCTCAAGCTCAGCGGGCCCCGCTTCCCGCGAGGCTGGGTTGCGCACTGGCCAAGGAATGAAGCATCGTCTTCCTTCCGTCCTCGTAATGTTGTGTCAAAGAACCAGTGCCCACGTATAGGCAGCTTCCCTCAATAGGGCCTCGCAACCTCTTGGAGCGTGTGTACGTTCCACACTCGTCAATAGCACCACCTCGCGCATGCGCAGAGCTGCACAGGCCATGCGCCGTCGGGTCAACCGCCAAGCCGAAGGGCAGGGGTAGGTTGAGCTCGAAAGCGCTCCGCATCCTTAGTGCTGCTAGCGCGACCCAAGTAGCCAAGCTTCCCTTCACGAGGGTGTCGCAATGGCGTGGTCAGACAGCATGGGCGCTTTCACTGGTAGCGCACTTCAGTAGAGAGGAGCAACAAGGCCACCCGCGCCGGGTCAACCGCCAAGCCGAATGCGTCGTTGAGCCCAGTATCGCTCGGCAGTCTCCGTAAGAAACCGTCGCCAATTAAATGCGTTCGCCGTTTGATCATCGTTCAGGGCATACAAAAATCGCCAATCACGGCAATCGGTGCCCCTGAAGTTGCGCCTGATGGAAGTAGTTCACAATCTTTATTTACGACAGCCAGCTCACAACTACACTGAAGCTATAGCGAGGCTCTCTTTTGACTGCCGGTGCAACGGCTGAAGCAGTGCAAGCTATGCAGAAGCAAAGCGAGCATTGTGAAGCTGTTGTCGAAAGCCCTGTGATGCCAATCCTGCAGAACAGGAAGAAGAAAAGCAAAGTAGAATATAACCAAAGCGAAGCAACAAAAGGATAGCTGCAAGTATCAACAATGATCA